TACCCATGTTTTACCCCAACAGTTTGTAGATATAAAATACATATACAGTTTAAATCATTTAAAACATGTATAAAAATCTTTCATCAGCACAGACAACAAGTAGTCAGACAATATGCACACATAGCACGTAATTTATGTAAAATACTTCATATCTATGTGTAAGATGAAAGTAACTATGCACTCACTTGTTAAGGTGGTGACTCGGTACTCGGATTGCGCTTCGTTATCTCAAAACAATTTTCCCATGACAAAACCTAGTATCAATACCACTAGGGTTTAGTCTAACGTTAATCGCGACTAATTAATAATCTAGCTATTATTATTATTATATAAGCGTTAAACAACACTCATAATAATAGCCTAAATAATTATTTTAAGGTCCTAATAATGTTACTATAATTAAATAAAAGCTATATTAAAAATAGCGTAGGCGTAGCTCACTTACAGCGGGTTTTATAGAAAACCGGGTTTTGCTCAGAGCAGCGTTTCTAAACCGGAAGACCCTTTTTCTCGGGACTCCGGGAGCCTCGGGGCTTCCTTCGGGTGCTAGGGGGTTTACCTAGGCTTAGGAGGGGGTTAGGGGTGGTAGAGAGAGAAACTAGTGAGAGAAAGAGGTGGATTTGGAGTGCGGAAGTCGGCTGCCCTCGCAGCCTATTTATAGGCGCGAGCCTTCGGTGGTACGCTGGGCGTACAGAACTGCTACGCGAGGCGTAGCTTCGGATAAGGATGCCAGCTCGCACCAGCTGTCTCGCACGCGCCCACTCTCGGAACCGGATAAGAATCGAAGTACGATGGGCGTACTTGGCCTCGGACGCGGGGCGTAAATGCGAAGGCTATGTGTCGTCATCCGGAGCGAGTTCATCGGACGGCTGGGAGTTCGGCCACGTCATCATTCCATGCATCAGCTTCGCAAATTGCACACTTAACTTCTAAAATTCGTATCTTTCGCATATGGGCTCTGTTTTTTACGTTCTTTATATCCACGCGTAGGCGGTAACGTACTCTACAACTTTCGTTTAGACTCCGTCGGCTAATTTTGACTTTATTTTAAAAGTTATATTTTTAACAAGCCGGGACATGATTGGTCCGTTAAAAATTCATAACTTCTTCATCCGATGTCCGTTTTCGTCTGTCTTTTTATCGTTACGCTACTAATAACGAGATCTTCGATTCTCGTTTAGTTTGTGTCAGCTAAAAATCGCTCGATCTAATATTCGAACTTCGGGTTGTACACTGCTAAGCCGAAACTTCGAAAAATCATAACTTCTTCATACGAAGTCAGATTTGGGCGTTCTTTTTATGGACGCTCTCGGATTAACGTTTTCTACGACTTCTATTTGGATCGCTAAGGCTAAAAGTCGCTCTATCGTAAATTCACTATTTACGCTTCCCGGTGTCGTGTCGGTTCCGTCACGAAACTTCAACGGGTCATAACTTTTTCGTTATAACTCGGATTTCGGCGTTCTTTATATCCCCGGAATCCTTGTTTCGACCACTACAAATTTATGTAGAGATATCGGGTTTATCTCACACTTTAATTTTGACGCTTATTTTTATTCTTTATTTATTACACATTTACAAATAAGTAATAAGCATATAAAGGCATATAATTCACATGATACTCAAATATTTCATCTTTATTATCTCGAAAGAGTTACAATGGTTGACCTAGACTATTACATCATCTGATAATGCTTAGCCCCGAAACCCGAGCGTTACACTACAGTACAAAGTATAGTGAGAAAAATCACCTGGACTAAATAGTGGAAGCTCTACAGCATTCTTAGCAACAGAACAGCTAACCCGAGCTACCTAAAGTCAAACTAGGACTATCCCTTAGCTAAATATTCAATTCTTTCAAAGTTTGACCAAAAGTCAAACTTCTCAAAAAGTCAACGTCAATGGTTACCACGTCGTGGCCAACCAATGACCACGTTGTGGCAAATACAAGACAAACTGTCGTGAAAACCCACTACCATGTCGTGGCAAGCATCATGCCACGTCATGGGAACGTTCACATCGTGGGCCTTCCTTAGCCATGTCGTGGTTTTCGGTCAGGAAAATATTTCTTTCCTTAAGGGCTTAATCCATTAAGCCAACACCTAATACTTTCGAGAAGGCATCTTTGCTCCACAAAGGACCATAAAAATCATTACTTTATGGGCATGCATGTCCTTCCCAAAACTAGATCAAAAAGGTAAGAAATGGGGTCAAACCCCCATGTATGACATCAAAACAACTTGTGACTCCAGATTTGTATAATTTTCTTGGGACCTTTGAGAGTTGTAACATCCCTCTCTTGCACGTATCCCAATATTGTCCGCTTTGGGCTCCCGGCACGAAAACTTCCCAGGGGGTCACCCATCCTTGAATTGCTTTCGCCCGGGCATGCTTAACTACAGAGTTTTTATGGGATTTGTTGCCCTCACGGCTTTAAAACGTGTTGTGGCAGAAGAGGTATCCACACCCTTTTTAAGGAATGCTTAGTTCTCCTTCCCAACCGATATGGGATCAGGTGCAGCTAACATGTCCGCCTTCACCCCCCTCCCCCCCATTATAGGTTTTGACGTCCCCGTCGAACACATCGACCCGTGCCCTGGCTCTGATACCAACTTGTAACACTGTGATTTTTCACTCAAAACTCTTCACATGGACTAAAACCCATAATAATTCAAGATCCAAAGACTAAATACCAAAAAGTAAGGAACTTTGTGACTTACAAAGGTCCAAAAGATAGATGAAGGTAGGAATCTACAAGCTTCAAACTTCCAAGCACAACCTTTCTTGCTTCCTTCACCAAAACACCCAAAATGTGCACCAAAAGAGGTTCAAGGAGAGAGAAGAAGCTCAAATTATGAAGAGGACGGCTAGGGTTGCTCTCAAGGAGTTCTAAATGCCCTAAAATATGAATCCTTACATTTAAATACGTTGACAACCCTAAAAAAATCACAGGCTTGGGCTTGACCAGCTTCCGCTCTGTGGAAAACAGTTCTCCGCTACGTGGTGATTACCACGCCGTAGAGACCTGCTCTCCACCCCGTGGAGACGGATTTTCTCCCAAATCTATTCCAACTTCAAACAGTCATAACTTCTTCGTCTCAACTCCGTTTTCGGTGATTTTTATATGCGCGTGAAGGTATTGACGAGCCCTCACACTTCTGTCTAGTTACTTTTGACTAAAAACATACCGAAATAAAATCATCAATTCATGCAAGAACCCTGAATTATCACCTTTCTCATTTTACATTTTGTCTCGAAGAACAATTCGAGGGCTTTAATCACTTAACCAACATTATCAATACTTGATAGGGTCTAAACTCTATTTCTTTAAAGCTCAAGACTTTTACTCGATCAAATTACGGTTCGTTACCCCGAAATTAGAAACATCATGGAAACTAAGTGTTATAACTACGTTTGCAATTTCAATCTAACGATCAGTTTGTAGATGGTGAAAACTGTTGAACTGCAACTTCGACCCTAACCTTGTCCACGAGGTAGGTACATAGATACATGCATGTGTCCATGTGTCCGTCCGTCCGCCGCGCATGCGCGCGCGCGCACACACACACACACACACACACAAACACACACACACACACACATATATATATATATATATATATATATATATATATATATATATATATATATATATATAGACACACACACAGTATGCTAGGTATTTGTCAATCTAACCTCCACCGATCATTGGAAAACTACTAAGAAAGATTTGCCATTTTGAAGTGAAGGAGTATAAAAAGCTCACTTGCAATACATATAATGCGTTGGAAGTAGTTGATATTCTAGTTCTAACTTTGAGATACATTTTCATGTTATCAGGTGGTTGAATTTTTTTAAAGAACCACAAGCAAACTCGCGACTTATAAAAGTGGATCTAGGAAGTCGATTAACCAGCACCTATACGTTTGGCGGCCATTCACCGACTACGATTTAAGGTAAGCACTTATATTAATCGCTTATGGTCAAAGTCGGGCAAAATTGGTGTTGGTTGTTGAAAAATTAAAGAGTCCAATATTTAAATAAATAAATAAATCTAAATATGTTAACCGTAAAAGTCAAAGTTAATCAGAAACTAATATGATAATACTTAATTTGAACTTTATGACTCTATTTCTTCCTCTTCCCTCCTACAATCGGTCTCTATATCCTCGTCTTCCTTTCGGTAAGCTTCTCTTTTCTTTCTTTCCTTTCACTTTTGTGATTTTGTCTCTCTGCCTCTCCCTCTCTCTTCATGCATATTTTCTCTATCTCTCCCTAAAGTTTTAGGGGGTGTTTGGCAAAAAAAAAAAGTATGGTTTATTAGTTTATAACTTATTAACTTATTGGCTTATAAGTTAATAAATAGAGTGAGTTAACTTATGAAAAAATGACTTATCAACATAAGCTGTTTTTATCCAAATATTTTTTTTAGCTTATAATGGTGTGGAACCTGATAATAAGCTTATTTGCCAAACAAGCTTATTTGCCAAACATTCATTTAAACACTAGATATTACTTACCACTTATGTATTGTTATTTACTTATTGCATATTGATAATAGATTTCTTTTAAATTCCTTTATGATTTAGAGTCTCGTATTGAACCTCATTTAGATCGATTAGTCTCTACACCCCAATCGACCGACTTACCATCTAGCAATATTTACAAACCGTGTACAACACGTGTCACGAAATGTTTATGAGAAATCTTATTAGAGGGCTCAAAATCATAAATCCATCTCAAGGCTGCTAAAAATTTATTTCAACAATTCTACAACCGTTGGTTTCTCAAATAGCAATAGTTCAAATGGAGCACGATTGAACACCCATACAAAATACTTGTTCGTTAGCAGATTTTCTCACCATAGGTTTTCCACACAACATTTTTCAAAAAAAATGTCACAAATATACGTTTAACTCAATACCTTGTTTAGGTAACTTTACCATAATGCCTTGCTTATTATTATTATTGTAAATTCAATTATTTTAAACTAAGCTTCATTCCCTTCCATTAAAAAATCTATTTGCACACATGTAAAGCAAACATAATCATCAATACCAATGTACTCCATTTCTATTCCTTGAACTCCAAATCTTACAAGCATAGCAACTTGTACTTCATGCAACAAAAGTAATTCATTGCTCCCCAAAACTCATCACCCCCATGTTCAAAATCTTATCCAAATGACCCAAGAAATTGATAAAAACACATCCACATTATTTATATGCCAACAATAAAATGAAGCAAAAGTATACCCCATATGTGTTTTCCATGGATGTGGAGTTGTGAGGAAAAAGCAACCAAGTCAAAGACATGGTCAAACCTTTTCAAAGGTTGGTTTTTGGTTTACCAGAGGCAGCAATCCTCCGTGTGACTGACCGCATGGTAACAAACTCCTCTGCAGATGATGGATGGATCCCCACCGTGCTATCGAATTGTGCCTTTGTTGCTCCACACTTCATCGCCACAGCAATACCCTAAAAAAATATTCAAATTTAATACCAAAGATGATAAGGGCATTTACGTCTTTTTACACAGACAAGAGATCAAGAACAAGTCAATGTCCTACCTTCTTGGGTTTAGACAAAAACTTGCAATTTTTTGTCCTGCCGACATCAGTCCCAAATTTCTAGGAATTTTTTGTCCTGCCGACATCAGTCCCAAATTTCTAGGGCTATTTTTTTATATAAGGATGAGAAGGGCATTTATGTCTTTTGCACATAGTTCAATTTATACCAAACATAGTACAACTTGCTCTGACATCAGTCCCAGATTTCTAGGGCTATTTTTTTATATAAGGATGACAAGGGCATTTATGTCTTTTGTACATAGTTCAATGTATACCAAACACAGTACAACTTGTTCTGACACAGTCCCAACTTTTAGGGCTATTTTTTTATAAAAGGATGACAAGGGCATTTATGTCTTTTGCTCATAGTTCAATGTATACCAAACACAGTACAACTTGTTCTGACATCAGTCCCAGCTTTTTAGGGCTAATTTTTTATAACAGGATGACAAGGGCATTTACGTCTTTTGCACATATATACCAAACACAGTACAACTTGTTCTGTCCTGTACCTGCATAATTTCTGCTGCATCGGGCCCACACATGGACGCACCAATAACTTTATCTGTCTCAGCACTGACGATAAGTTTCATGAGTGTCTTCTCTTGCCTCCTGTAAAAAAAAAATTGAATGCAAAAAATAAAAACGGGGCCCACGAAAATGGAGAAATGAAAAATTTTTACATACCCAGAAATGGAGTTTTTCATAGGATTAAATGTTGATGTGAAAATCAAAATGTCTCCTTCACCTTTCTCTATAGCCTGTTCTTCACTTAGTCCCACAACAGAGAGAGGTGGAATGCTGACATGGCAAAATATATAATTATATAAATTATTTTTATATTATATTTATGAATAAAAAAAAAAAAAATAAAAAAAAAAATAAGTTAAGTTGAAGATTGTTATACCAGAAAACGGCACAAGGTATGTTGCTGTAGTCTGGCTTGCTAGGTTCGTTACCAAATACGGTTTTCTGTGTTCCATGAAAAAATGGAAAATTACGTATTTACCCTTTTGATAATCATTAGTTATAAGGGTTTGAAAATACATACAGCAAATAAAGTTCCTTCCATTAAGGCAACAGGAGTGAGATTCATTCGATTTGTGACATCACCTATGGCCCAAATGCTAGGGACATTAGTGCGAGAAAATTCATCCACCTGCATTAAATAAAGTAAAAATATGTGAGATTTTGAAATACACCTTTAACGGGGGCATTTTAGTCTTTTAGTAAATAAAGAAGAATGAAATTAAGTAAACCTTCACTGCTCCTGTTTTGTCAACTTCAACCCCTACACTTTGCAAATTTAACCTCTTGGTATTAGGTACACGTCCTGCAACAACAAAAAATATAAAAATATAAAATTTTAAAATTAAATAATCAAGCAATTATTTCCCACTATATAAAAAAATTACCAGTGGCAAAAAGTACAACATCTGCCATTAATTCTTCACCATGATCTGTGGTAACTTTTATACCATCTTCAGTTTTCACCAACTGAAAAATATGCATCCGATTTTAAAAAAAGGAAAATTCAAGAAAAATAAGGCTACTTTTAATAGCAACTTAGTTACAATCTTTACCAATAATAATAATATATAACAAATATTTAATGTGAATAATTGCTATTATTGGTAAAAACAATGTTTGATAAAGAAATGCAAGTATGTTGCTATTAAGGGTTTTTTTACATATTGGTATTATCAGTAAAAAATGCAGATACATTGCTGTTATGTGTAACAAATAAGATACATTTCTTATATTGGTTAAAAAAAAAGTAATTTGCTGTTTCCTGGAATTTGCTTGAAAATAATGTGGCATAATTAATAATTTAATTGGATGAAAAGAACCTGTGTTATATTTGTTTGTGGATGCAAAATTATGCCTCTTCCTTCAAGATTTCTGGCAACAAGAGCTCTCATTTCATCATCAAAACCCCTGCAAAATTAAATTTAAATTGATAAAATGGAATTTTTAAACAGTCAAAAAATAATAATGGTTTAATCACTATAAAAAGTAGTTTAAAGTCAGATATTCAAACAGGAAGAATTCATAAAGCTTTATATATAATATAACCTTAAAGGAAGTTCCTTTCTGAAGATTAGATTCACAGTGGACCCCATCCCACGCCAAATTGAAGCAAACTCAACAGCAATATACCTGACCCAATACAAAAAAATTGAAACTAAAAAATACAGAAATTTAAAGATGAAAAGGGTAAAATGGTAAAATGGTCAACTCACCCTCCTCCAAGTATAACTACACGCTTTGGTAGCTCTTCCAAGCTCAAAGCCTCATCTGAGGTTATAGCCAACTCCTAAATTGACACACACAAAGAAAACAATATGATATGAAAAGGGTAAAATGGTCAATTTACTCTACCCAAGGAGATTGTATTTTTGCATGAAATTTTTACCTGTCCAGGGATATTTGGACGTTGTGCCCTGCTGCCAGTTGCTATGAGTATGTGTTTTGCTGAATAGGAGAGTTTAGTTCCATCCAATTGGATCACTTCCACTTCATTGGGGCCCACAATTCTACCCTCTCCTTCAAAAAGTTTGACTCCTGCATTTGAAAGTAGGCGTTTGTATATCCCATTTAGCCTCACTATTTCTTCAGTCTGCAACAACAAAGTTGTAATCAAAGAGGAGCAAGGGTAAATAGGTAAATACTGTGTGGATACACAAACAGTGAAAAGAAAGATATTGGAAATAAAGCAGAAAGTAGATAGATACTCCCTTCAAGAACAAAAGCCTCACTTAATTTGGGAAATCAACAAAGTCAAAAGTAAAAAAGGCTCTTTTTATTTGTCAAGATATCTATTAGAATGTAGAATAGACCTTCTTGTGAAGTAGCTTTTTCCAATCAAAATCAATGTTATCGTTCACTTTCCATCCATATTCTTTTGCATCCTACACATGTTGAAACAGGGATGAGTGAAGAAATATAAGTATTTCTCTTTTTAAACAAAGTGTTAATGGAAACAATAAAAAAATACGAATTTCTAATATCAGTAGTTTCTAATAGAAGCTCAAAATCACCTGAATTTCAGGACCAAAGGTTGCTCCATAGACCAAAATCTTTTTAGGAACACACCCACGAATCACACACCTACACCACATGCAAACATCAAAGGCATTTAGATTATATAATAGAAGAACTATAATTGTTGCTTCATGCATCATCTAAGAATATATATACCCAATCAAACATAATATATGTTAGATAATAGATAGATGATAGATAAAAATATGTACAACTTGAAAAAGAGATTTAGAAACTTACGTTCCTCCAACGCCCCCTATGGTTTCTGAGCTGACTGGATGAAATGGTAGCTCACAAATCCCAACCTTACAATAAGAGTTGAGTAAGAAAGATAAATAATTGAATGAGCATGCATAAATTTCTTAAAGATAAGTTTTATATCTTCAAAAAACATCCAGAATTTAATGCAACATTAGTAATAGAAAATTGAGGAAACCATGTTATATTATCTCCATGGATGGGAAGTTATATATGACTGAAGTATTTGAGTACTAGTCAAATGTCTGAATAAAATACCCTTAGAGAATGACCATGTAGAAAACATCAATCACATTGTAATGACTAATGAGAGCAATTTGTTTCTTATATTGGAAATTTTCAAACTAACATTAACTATATACTTATTATGATCATTACAACTTATTGATGATATGATATTGAAGAGTGTTGCATACATCTGACTAGTACTAAAAACCATAACAATAAACCATGTGTGTAATACCAACTGTTGTAAATTTCATGGAGTCAAGGAGCAATTCAAATAGACATTTCCCATATGATGATATGAATGGAGTGTTGTGTATAACTCCAACATGCATACACTCTGTCTAGCAAATACTTCTATTCTTAGAATAAACTATCAATATCAATACAAATTCTAAAGCACCATGAAAACCACAGCTCAAGGAACCACCAAAGTGAAATTAGCTCAAATGAAACTCATCGCTGAATCCCTTTAGGGCAAGAAATTACATGCTAACATATGTTTGATATAAACAAAAAAAAAATGCATACACTACATGAGTTTGTTATGGGTAATTCAACATCCGATTCCAAGCAAAACCTTAGATTCGTTTCCATTAAGAGATGAGAAATGAGAATGGACAGATAAACAAACATACAGGTTTATCTAATAAATGATACCTTAGCTCCATACTGAGCTGAAAATCTGGATGCCCTAACCCCGCCACTGCCAGCACCAATCACGAACAGATCAAAATCGTAATCATTCTCTCCAGAAAGATTATCCAAATCTCCGTCAATCAGCATCTTCCTCGACATGATTAGAATACTAAATCCACATAAAAGCGCACATGGTATTAACAATCGATCAATCACAGGTAATACATCCATTTCCTAATAACTACTTATACGATACTCGATAAGAACGTATATTTCAAAAACCTTTTAAAAAAAATCAGATCCGAAAAATACCACATATAACGATTGCCTAAAATTTATCACGTAATTTCCGCTATATTTGTACAAAAACAGTCCCGGATCAGAGAAATACTAAATTTGAAGCTGCGAAATCGATTTGGGGGAGAAAATCATCGGAGCAGCAATACTAAACATACATAACAAAATGAAGTGTGTAGGTTAAAATTTTACCCTTCTAGAGCTGAATCAATGTACTAAACTTGATTTCCAGTAGGGGTTTTACTTGTTCTTCAAGAAATTAATATTAATCTGCTTCAAAATCTGAGGGTTTGAACAACAATTTGCCACGACACAGACAAGCAGGTCGTGATTACTGATGATTGATGAATTTGAGAAGGAGAAATCGAACTTTGCTTTGCTCTATACATGTATTTAAACCGCAGGGCTTGAGAATGTTCGCTTGTTCTGATTTGGTAGTACCTTGTGCATTAAGATGTTGTACTCTTCGACTGGGATGTCGGTCTGCCAAAAGCAAAAACTTTTGTAAATACCCAATCACAATTTTGCTTTTTGCAATCTTTTAACTTTGACAAACTTTTTACTACTATAATTTGTTTAAAAATAATAATACTAATAAATAAATAAATTTATTATTTTCTTTAAAACTATTAATTTCGAAGATAAAAACCTAATAAATTTATAAATTCTCCCAATTAAGTCCACTTTTTGTAACTTCATCTAATTGAAAGAAATTAAATGTTTCATCTAATATTGTATATAGTAAATAGGTTAAAACCATATCATAATAAGTCAGAATATAGTTTTTTCTCATTTTAGTAAAAGATGTCAACTATTTGATTCAACAATTCAATTGCAAACTCGTTCGATATGTATAGATTGTGATTATCTATCTGATGATGAATTTTGTCTTAACCCATTCCATGAACATTTTAATGACAAAGAATTGAGACCTTTCACGCCATAACATATTTTCAAAGTTATGAAGGATGTTGGAGATCAACAAAAGAGAGGCGTGGTACAGTCTTGAACTCTTGGGTATTTCATAGACGTATAAAGGTTGTATGTAAAGAGGAAAAACTATGGAATGGGTAAAAAAATATGAAAAAAACAAATTTCATGGTCACTTTGGTTTCCAAAAAGTATCACTTTCAGGATATTTATAAAACGTTACACCGAAGGCATTTGTGGTTTCAAAATCAAATACGGTTAGTCTTTTTGTCTGTTAGGATTTATGTTAAATCTATAGTAAAAAGACATTTTGCCTTTCGACCAAAGTTGATAAAACTTATATACTTGAGGGTTCATTTATATAAATTATGAGTAAAAGGAATAAATAGAAATCCAATGGGTCCTTTGGTTCGCAGAATCTGTTGAAATTGGAAGGAATTGGAATTTAATTTCATCAATTTCTCATGTTTGGTTCAAGTTTTGAGAAGTAATTGGATTCCTAAGTGTATCTAACTTTCCTTCCATCTAGGGAAAGTAAATTCCAAGTAAAAGATGAGGAAATTCAAATTCCTTCAGGTGGGAATGTTGAAGATTACCACCACCGTCGACCGTCGTCGCCACCTGCACCCACAACCATCACCACCACCACTAACATCCACTACCACCGCCGCCACTAACACCTACCGGCCACCGCCACAACCGCTATTGCCTCTACCATCAACACTAGTGATGCCACTACTACCACCACCTCCACCTTCGTCACCACCACACACTACCGTCATCACCACCACCGTCGCTTATGCCACCATCGTCGCCGCCACCACCACCATTTACTATTTTTATAATTTATATAATATATCTTTACATATAATTATAAAAAAAAATTAAAAAAAAAAAAATAAAAGTAAGCAAAAACCAAGAATGGTAATTCTGTCATTTTACACTATTCTAATTTCATTTTCCGCCAACCAAACAAAATATAAAATTGGATTCAAATTTCATTTACTGCTAACCAAACAGAATATTGAATTAGATTCCAATTCAAGGCAGATTCCAATTCATCAACAGATTCTAATTCCTTCAAAAACATTATGTGAACCAAACGCCGCCTAAGGCATCGTCTAAAAGACTTTCATATCAAACTAGTATTTATGTTACCATGTGTCTTACAGCGGAGAACCCGTTTGCAATTAGTAAAAACAAAACTATAAAAAGAAATTGTGTAAGGAACAGAAACGCAACTTTGATGCGTGAGGTAACGTCATTGTAATTCGTATATAGAATGTGATTTATAAATATCAACAATCCACATATATTACAGTGACTATTAGACATATCGAGTGGTCCACAAAGTATGAAAATAAAGTTTCAATCCAAAAAATTATGTATGGAAGAGACCGATGAAAATAAAGTTTGAATGTTTATCTTAAGGAAATTAATAAAAAAAAACTGTAAAAAAATTATCTAAGGACGAAAACATAACTTTAATGTGTTGGGTAACTCCTTTGCAATTCGCATATAGAATTTGATTTAAAAATGTCAACAGTTCACATATATCACGGTTACGATTATATAATATCCAGTGAACAAAAAAAGTTAAAAAATAAAGTTTCGATCAAAAACATTATGTATGAAGAATGTGAAAAAAAATAAGATTTGAAAGTGTATTTTAAGAAAATTAATGAAAATGAAAACTATAAAATAAATTATATAAGGGACAAAAAAATATAACTTTATAATAATTCTAAATTTATAAAATACCAATAATTTAACTTTAAAGTTATAAAAGTTAAAAAATGTTAGATGAAAATTAGTCAAGGGGAAAAATATACATGTAAAAATCCCTAATTACAAATAGATGTTTATTGTATTATTTTATAATATTAACCGAAAATAATAGGGCTGTAAACGAACTGAACGTTTGACGAACCGTCGTGAACTGTTCGGCGGGAAGTTCGTTTATGTTTGTTTATTTAATAAATGAACGAACATGAACACAAATTCTCGTTCGTTTAGTTAAACGAACGAACATGAACAATGGTCTCGTTCGTTCATTTACGTTCGTGAACGTTCGTTTATGTTCGTTCGTTTAAGTTTTTTTATGTTCATATATTTTCAATTATTTTTTATTACATTATTTGTATTATAGTTCGTTTATGTTTATATATGTTCAATTGTGTTTCTTTATCTTTGTTCGTTTATGTTCGTTTAACATGTTCACGAACATAAATGAAAGAACATGAACAAGACAATTTGTTAAACGAACGAACATGAACAAGAAAACTTTGTTCGTTTATCCGTTCGTGTTCATTCGATTGTTCGGCTAACTTAAACGAACGAACATGAACAAGCATTTGTTCGTGTTCGTTCGGTTCGTTTACAGCCCTAAAAAGTAGTAATTAAATTTGAATTTAGTAAATTTAAATCTGGAAATAGTAAAACAAATGAACACTAAAAAAACTCTCACATACTTCATTGCAATTATTATTATTATTATTATTATTATTATATATATATATATATATATATATATATATATACTAGGCGTGAAACTCATGTATTACATGGGCTAAAATATATATATATATATATATATATATATATATATATATATATATATATATATATATATATATCAAAATGTAAAAATTTTAAAATAAGAAAGAAAAAAATATATTTATTGCAATTTATGATCATATTTATTACATTTAATACTTACTTATATAACTATATGTATTATGTGGCTTTTTAATTTTAAAATTAAAAACCCTAGAAATTGACATGTGTATATTATTTATTTCAAAAATACCACAAAATGACAAGTGTCCAAACTTATGAGAGATGACATATGCCAAAATGGATTTTCATTTATTAGAGAGAGAGAGAGAGTGTGTATATATATATATATATATATATATATATATATATATATATATATATATATATATATATAGCTCTTTTGGCGAATAGTTTTTCTTACGGAGAAATAATTATTTATTAGTTATTGTATAATAAAAATTACCACTTTTAAATAAAATGATAATGTTTAGACTTTATATTTATATTTTTTGTTTATACATTTGATGTAAATTAATTAAGATCGTTGTCTAGTTTAAGAAATGTAAATTAATTTATATATATATATATATATATATATATATATATATATATATATATATATATATGAATTTAATATTTTAAAATTATCATTTTGCTATAAATTAATTTTTTTAATAATTTTCCCTAATTCAAGAGTTCATACTTTTGGCAAGTATTAATGATTTATTTATGTATAATTGATTTGTATAAAAAGCTTTGTATCTTATACCTCTTAAAATTTAAGATATGACTAATATTCTTTATAATATAATATATATATATATATATATATATATATATATATATATATATATATATAATGCGCTTGAAATTATTTTGAGATGCACTTTGGTTATGTAAGAAAAATAAGATTGGGTTTGGTTTTGGGGAAATCTAGGAGTGCAAACAAGTCGAATTGAGCTTGATTTCGGCTCGGGCTCGTTTATGTTATACTAGGTTCGAGCTTAAGCTCGACTAGATTCAAATTTTATTGTACTAAGCTCATATTGAGCTCGTAAAGAATTATACAACTTCGGTTCGGGCTCAAGCTCGACTCGTTTTTTTGTGTGATATGCCTAAATAAGCTTAGGCTCGGTTCGAGCTCATTAAAAAGTTTGTTTACTTATACCCTAAAACTTTAATTCCCCAAATATGCTTTATTAATATATAAAAATAATAATAAATTCTATTATATAGGTTCGTTTAGGCTCGCGAGCCTAATTAAGCTTAGTAACATAGGTTGAGCTCGAGCTTGTCTAAAATCGGTTTCGAGTCGAGCTTTTAACGAGCCGATCCTGAATAACTCACGTGTAGCTTGCTCATCTTGTTATGTTTTATTAGTTTATATTTCTGACGTTTTATTTGAAAAAAATATATAAAACTTTAAAATAAAAAATATTAAGTAATATATTCGTAGAAAATGTTAGAAAAGTTTTTAAAAAAAATCATAAATCATAAAATAAAAATAATAATAATTAAAATTAAATAATATAGACAATATAATATATTTCAATAAAATATTAAAATAACTATTATGAAATAAATTCTCGTACAAAAAAATAATATATATATATATATATATATATATATATATATATATATATATATATATATATATATATATATATATATATCTATATATATATAATAGTGTCAAATTCTTATTAGCTTACTTAGAAACTAATGATTTGTGTATGATTAGGTAATATATATATAGACAAAATTGCAAAAATGGTCCCTGTGGTATGCATTATTTTGGGGTTTTAGTCCAAACCACGACTTTTTTGGATTGGTGGTCCTTTTGGCCATGTTTGTACGTAGATTTGGTCCCTCGTAAAATTGAAATGACTATAATGCCCTTCTGATATATTTTTTTATTTTTTTCTATTTAATTTAAATGAAAAAGAAAATAAATAATTAAT